AATTTCAATGAAAAGAAAAAGCATCTAAAATTGACACTCGATTAGAACTGACCCAACATGGAGAAGCCTGACAGAAGAGAATGCAAACAGGGACAGCAGATCAGGAATGAGAAGTGAGGGACTATCTCTGAAACGGCTGGCTAACATCTAAAGCATCTTCGTTTATAAAGTTCAAAAAGCAAGTGCTTTTAAGGCAGAAGAAACACTAATAAAACTGCTTTTCTGGTTGTTTTTCAAAACCTGCTTCATAAATCTGAAGGGAAAAAAATGCTGGCATGAGCTAGTATCTTACTACTAACAAAGTTTATATTTCCTCTTGAAAAGACAGCAAGTCGGCCAGGATGATGAAGAAATTGCTCAGTCTGATGCACATATTTATTCTATAATGTATTATTCACGTCCATCAGTATGATAAGAAATAGCTTTCCTCCCAACGCAACGCCAAAGGCTGGCCTGAGGGACGGCTCGACCACAAGCTCCTACCTCCTCAGCGCTGAAAAAACAATGCTCCCCCCAAAACAAGGGGAAGCCTGAGACTAGAGCCACACAATTTACATGAAAAGCAGAGAAAACATCTACCATCTGAATTTTTAGCGAGACAGAGAGAAGACAGCAATTATGACAACAGGCAGACGTGGCCTGTGCATTTTGAGCACACAGTCTTAACCATCACCTCTTTGCAAAATCCACCAGAGGCACTGAAGTCTGGACCCAAAGCACAGATAGGAGACACACTGTGCAAGGACTCTGAAACACCTGTAAAAACTGACCTCAGACTAGGCCACAAAGAAAGGCTTAATTCCAAATAATCGATACCATACAGACCATATTCCTTAAACATGAAATTTAATTATAAATTATCCATAAAAAGACTTTCTAAAAACCCTTATGTTTCAAAACTAAAGAACAGGCTCCTAAATAGCCCACATGATAAAAAGAAATAAAGTATTTCAAATTAAAATTCAAGGAACTTTTAATATTAGTATTTAATAAATTTAAATAAAACATGCTTAAAGAGAAATATATAGCCTTGGGGCACCAGGGTGGCTCAGTCGGTTGAGCATCCGACTCTTGATTTCAGCTCAGGTCATGATCTCAGGGTCCTGAGATCATGCCCTTGTTGGGCTCTGTGCCAACACAGAATCGGCTAGAAATTCTCTCTCCCCCCGCCCATCCCCCCCACCCCGCTCACATGCACCCATGTGTGCCCTCTAAAATAAATTTTAAAATTAAAAAAAAATGTATAGCCTTAAACATATTCGTTTAAAATGACAAAGACAAAAAATGAGCGAGCTAAGTATTTTACACAAGAGAATAAAAATGTAAATAACCAAAGAAATTAAAATGAAAAATAGAAATCAATGAAATGAAAAAAGTGAGTATCTACAAAACTAGAAGTTGAGTCTTTGCTAGATGATGCCTATTTCAGTAATTTCTTTAAAGTCTCATCAAAGGGAAAAAAAAAAAGACAAAATTTTTGGAAGAAAAGGGAAACTGTTAACTATAGATATACAGATATATATATATTTTTAAGATTTTTTTATTTATTTGACAGAGAGAGAGACAGCGAGAAAGGGAACACAAGCAGGGGGAGTGGGAGAGGGAGAAGCCGGCTTCCCACTGAGCAGGGAGCCTGATGCAGGGCTCGATCCCAGGACCCCGGGATCATGATCTAAGCCGAAGGCAGACGCTTAACGACTGAGCTACCCAGGCACCCCTATAGATATATTTTTTGAAAATCGTAAAAGCACCGTTGAAACATCTTGGTGCCACGACTTTGTAAAATGTGAAGGACACAGTTCCCTGGAGAAAGGCTGGGGAGGGTTCGGCCAGGCTCTCCCTCCCACAGCAAAGCTTCCTGCCCCGTGTACAGCCCACACATGGGGGATGTGCCACTTCCAGAAACCCTTGGCTCCCGGCCAGGCGGCCAGCCTCCTCCACTCACCCATGTGCCTTGCAAATATTATCATTTTCGGAGCGTGCCAGGCAGGGAGAAAACTTGGCAAATTCTAGTCTGTGTGGAAGCCCTGATTGTTAGCCAAGCGAACCGCGGCCTGGAATAACTATTTCGCTTCATGGTCCCTTCGTGGCAAAGATCTGGCCAGTACCATGGAAGTGGCAGCGGGAGGCACAACTTCCAAGAAGTCGTCTCCAAGGAAGGGGCGTGCTCTTGTCTACCCCTCCCTCCCTTCCTGCTGGCTGCCCCTGGACAGCCTCCTTGGGCCGTGAGGGGCCCTGAGGCACAAGAGTCACACCTGTGGGGTGACAAGGCAGAAGGCATCTGGGCCACAGCCACCTCCAGACTCTGATGCAGGAGCCAAAGCACTTACCACCTCATTTAAGCCACTAATGCCTTAGATCTCTCCTTCACTCACAGGTCAACCTAATCTTAACTGATTCTTTCCAAAAGAAACAAAAAGAAAAAGAAAAACGGAATATACCCACTCAAGAAATTGACTTGGTAAAACTAACAGAAATGACTAGTTCAAAGGAACAGAAAAGCTATAGCAGGCTGTCAACACTAAGAAAAGAGCAAGAGGAGAAACCAGCCGTCAGGACAGAATCATCATCAGCCATGAGGAAATGCAAATTAAAACACCAAAAATTAGAAAGACTGAGCATTCCAAGTGTTGCCAGGGACGTGGAGGAACTGGGACTCGCAGACGCTGTGTAGGAATGTAAATGGTACAACCACTTTGGAAAACACTGGGCCGTTCCTTAGAAAGGCCGGCGTACGTTGACTGTGCGAGCCAGCGGTCTCACTGCTCGGTACTGACCCAAAGGAACGAAAACCTGTCCGCACGGGACGCACACGTGAATGTTCTCCACAGCTTTACTTGTAAAGGAACCGAACTAGACACAGCCCCAGCGCTCCTTACCTGACAAATGGACACACACCCTGTGGTACGTCCATACAGTGCACAACCCAGCAGGAAAAAGGAATGAACTGTTACAAAAATAACATATCATCAAAATAATCATGATGACTGAGAGCAGCCTGAGCAAACAGGAGCACATACATTCCTGGGAAACACAGACCAGAGGGACCAAAAGCAGAGCAGCAGCCGTCGGGCCCTGGCAGGAGGGGGCATGCGGAGCTGTGGCCGGAAGGGGTCCCGCGGGGCACAGGCCACTGTGGGGGACGATGCACACGTCCGCCGTGCTGACCGTCGATGGCCCAGACACGCGGAAACAGACTCTCATTCCACAGCCCAGCCACTAGGGAAGTAATTTAGCCGTAGCTGGTGAAATCGAAGCTCCGCGCGCACGCTCTGGCATAATTCTGAGTCTGGGCACGGACTCTAAAGCAGTGTCGAAAACTCCAGCCCCAGGCTGGGTCCTGTTGCTGTGGATAAAGCTTCATCGGAACGGAGCCACACACACATGTTCACTGTTGTCTACGCTATGACTGCTCTCAGGCTCTATCAGCAGAGCTGAGAAGCTGCGACAGATCGTATGGCTCCTTAGCCTAAAATATGTCCTGTCTGGCCCCTGTGCGCCGGCCGACATGTGAAGGAGCCCGTGAGAGTTTGTGACAGTGTAAGGCCACTGAAGCTATGCCCACCAGCACAGGAATTAATGAACAGATACTGGAAAACCAGTCATCAGTTAAGATGAATGACCCAGATGCCCAGGTCTCCCCCCAGGCAGGGTCTCAGAACAGGATGCTGCCCAAAGAAAGCATCTCACCTAACGTATCCGCAACAGGGCAAGACGAAAACCCGCAGAACAGAGACAGCTGCGTTTAAAACAGATGACTGACTGCCCGAGAGCCGGCGGGGTTGGGGCCGAGGCAGAAAGGACATCACCTTTTCCTTACATTTTCATTTCTTTTACTTTAAAAACTCTTAAGATGTTTTTAGAAGACCAGTCAGTGAAATTCAACTCCGATGTTTCTGAGCATCCATAAAAGACAGCGCAGCGCCCCAACTCTGAAACACTAACTGCGCTTTTTTAAGGCAGCACATGTTCACCAAACAAGGACACTGTTTCCTTTTATCTTCTAAAGTCAGAGTACCACTCTGAACTGTACTCTTCAGTACACAGCCCGAAGCACAGCCCTCGTGCGCTCTGCATGGAAAGCAGGGCTATAAAATTTACACCAACTGAAGCCTCGAAGGCTGCCCACATCAACAGCCTGGAGGGACACACTCAAGGTTTCTGAGTGGGTCCCAAAATACCAGGGACACAGGACAACCCTGTGGCCTACGAAAAGGACTAGGACATGTTAAAATGCCACAGGGAGACAACAGCCTGCAGAAAGGCGGTCCTCCTTCGGCACGAGGCAGCGGGGGTGCCATCAGGCGAAGGCCTGCATAGCACTCTTCTCCTGGGACTGTTCCCGCGCCCCTCCGATGTCGCTCGCAACTGCCCAGTCCCCTCACTGGCTGTTTCAGGCCACGTCTTCATGAAAAACTAGGACATTTTAGGCAGAATTATCTGTGTATGTGAGTGTCAGCTGCTGACAAAACTATCCAAGAAATGTCTTTCTGTTACAAAAATCAGTAAGTGAAGATATATTCTCATTTTTGGAAGTGGCTATAGGAAACCTAGCTGTGACATTTGAGGCATGCTACGTGGCCTGCAGGTATTCACCCCAGGGTCACATGCCCAGGGGCGCTGGCTGGCAGGAAGCTGTGCGTCCCAACAAAACCACATCCCACAGCTGCAAGGAAGACGGCTGGGAGGCCAAGTTCCAAAAGCACCCAGATCTAAAAGCCAGACTTGAAACTCCCCCGTCTCTAATTTTGCAATCAGCCAGGGCCGGGCGCCCAGGCTCCCAACTCTGCAAGCAGGCGGAAGGGACTGAACAAGGCAGGACAGCAACAGTCATGGGGTCAGAGCAGAACAGGCCTCTGGCCTTGATTCCTGAGCCCTCACCCAGGACACACTGGAGGAGCCCCGAGGTTTCTATCCTCCCAAACGAGGAGGTGGGAGGGAACTTGGACATCCATCAGCAGACTTTGCTGATCAGCACATGTGCAGAAATCACTGCTTACCTTCTCTCCAGGTCTGGGTGCCTGCTGCAACTTCTCATAATCTTTCTTGGTCTCCAGAATTTTTTTCACAAGTCCTCCTGTTGAGAATCAGTGGTTTTACGTTATTCTCTAAGGAGCTATTCTATTCTAAATAGGTAGAGGAGTATTCTTCCTCTTTCTACACCGAACACAGCTTCAAATAATCTATTTGATAAAAGGGTCTACAATAGACTGATATAGCTGGTGGTGGAAATTAACTATAAAACTTTAGAGTGTTTCAAAGAAATCAGCTTCTCAAAGGTAAAAAAAAAAAAAAAAAACTTTGGAAATAGAAAACAATTATGAGGAAATGTAGATTGACATTCTAAAAGATAACCATCTGTCACAAACAGGTGTGACAATTCTGAGCTGTTTCTAAGCACAAATACTCCTTTTATACTAGGGTAAGAGTCTTCAACTTCCCTTAAAAAAAAAAACGAAAAAAAGAATTGCCTGTGGGGTATCACACAAAGCATTTTCTTTAGACTACTGTCTCATCCAAATGCACATCCACACGAAACTGGCCGCGCATGCCCTGCAGTACCTGGACAGAGGAGGGCGCGGCTGTGAGCAGCAGTGAAGACTCGTCCGCCGCTACGGGACGGGCGTCAGTACACGCTGCCCAGTCGCAAAAGCACGAGGGAGACATGGAAGTACACACACACGCACCACGCACACCACACACACGTATTAACTTGTAAGTTTTTAAATCAAAGTATAAGCCATATTTCTTACTGTTACCTACAGGGGGAGGAAGGGAGGGAGAGGACAGGGTGGAGGCGCCTAATCTCACAGTATATCTTGTTTGGTACATTTGACCTCGGAAATGTGTCTATTTTACATAAATAAAACAAAATTAAATTAGATTTTTCAATGCCTAAAAACTGAAACCAAAATGAAACTAATAAACTTAACAACATCAAACTGGCAAGCATAGCCTAACAAAGGATTGTTCTGTAACTTTACAAGAGAGTAATTGGTTATCCATCCCTGAGAACAGACAGACCCTGAGAAAAACCCTACAGTGTCTCCAGGAATCTGTTGTCACAAATAGCCGGTGGTGTTCTAGAGGTGCTGTGCGTGTGTGCCAGCCACAAGGTGAAGCAAACAGACGGCTGACGCTAGGAACCAGGATTTTTGGCATGAGATAGACATGCGTGTATAAAATCAAAAATTTAGGAAAGACTCTAGAATAGTAAAGCTGCACTGGAAATACCAGCATGAGCTTGGATACGTGTCCTCATTAAAAAGAAAGAAAGAAGAAAGAAAAGAAAGAAAGAAAGAAAAGAAAAGAAAGAAAGAAAGAAAGAAAAAGAAAGAAAGAAAGAAAGAAAGAAAGAAAGAAAGAAAGAAAGAAAGAAAGAAAGAAAGAAAAAAGGTAAGAAAACCCCTAGAAACAACGACCAACCCAGAAGCAACATGCAGCAAGGCTCCTTGGAGAAATGGAGGGTTCCAGCCTTGGAGCAGGAAATAATCACAAAATGAGCCTGAAACATCTGGTCCTCTCAGAAAACAAGGAAGCTGTAGTCTCCCAGGATGTGTCAAAAGGCCCCAGAGTACTGCTCCAACAGGCTCCCACTGATTACATACCAGACAATCTGAACATCGCTGAGAAGAACTGATCTGGCGTGAAACGAGACCCATCAAATGCGTTAGAGGAAAACTCATGATTTCATACAGATATCGTATAGATATCAGCAACCACCACCCCACACGCCCTCTTTAGTCAGCGTTGATGGTACCAGGACACAGACTCACTCTGAGGAAAACCCTCCTCCTAGGGGCTGTGCCACGGCACAGTCAGAGGCTGGGGGTGGGGGGAAGCTCTGCACCACGGTGTCATCCAGCCAAACCTCGAGGAAGGGAGGGCGGGATGAGAACGTCGCCATCCTGCAACCCTTAATGATCCAGGCTAACGTCACAAGCAGACGTCAGGAAGAACCAACACCACCTACTAGTATTCCTGCCCAAAACCTGCATCTGATCAAGTCTCTGGAACCAAGTTACAAGAATAGAAGAATGTGTAAAAAACCATACCATGGGCATGTAATAAGCAACACTCCACTACCGGAAACTCTAAAGGACAACCAACCAGCTTCTTCTGCAAATACATTACAAGGGAAAGGGGAGGGATGGCCGTACAGGTTAAGAGAGACCTAAGAGATCAACTGACTCCAAAGCAAGGACCTTATTTGGATTCTGAATCAAACTAGAAAAAAATATACAAAGTAACTGGAAAAACTGATGATATCAAGAAATTGTTTTGTTTTTGTTTTGTTTTTTAATATACAACAACAGAATTGTGGTTATGTTTTTTTGAAAGAGAGCCCTTATCTTCTGGAGCTACACCGGACACGTTAAGCGAAGAAACGATCTTCTCTAGGACTTGAGAAGAGTCTAGGGGAACAGGGGTCTGCAGCAGGCAGAGGCTTAGAGAAAACGTGAGCCGATCACCATTGACACCGGGTGACGAGGGGTCGTGGGACTACTCTCTCTGCTTCTGCAGATGTTTGAAATCAAAGAAGATACTTGGCAAGAGGACAAGTACTATTACAAATGTTGTCGATTCGGGGACGACCCCAGAGGTCGAACCTCTAACCTAACCGCACACCACGTCAGAAGCTGCTGACAGCAAGCCCCAGCATCCCGGGGCCCAGTGTCCATGGTGTCCCAGACTGAACCCACCAAGCGAGGAGGAGCCCACGCGGGCGCCGGTGTCCCGCCGATGCTCTTCAGACCCCTGAGCAACACGGGGTGCCCCCTCCCACAGTCGCACCCGCCGCGCCCGGTACTCACCGTGTTTCTCCTCGGCCTCCACGTCTACTACGGGGACCTGGGCAGGAAAGCAAGGAGGAAAAAGCTGATTCTCGAAATGCTGCTTCCGTGGATCTCCTCAAAGCAAGGACAAAATTAAAGAAGGCAGAAATCTGACTGAAAAATCAGAGGACCGTTTTGTCTATGTGCACCTAAAGGCTGGAGTAGGAGTTCCAGGGCTGTCCGAGGGCAATGACAGAAACCGAAGCTCCCGTTGGCTCACCATTTCCAGTTCTGACATCTCAGGAAGCTGGGGGGCAGCCTCCACCACAAACTGACCATCTTCCTCATTGTCAGAGTTCCGGGCATCTACAATCACGCTGGCAACGAGTTTACCACTCCCTGTCCTACGAAGAAAAAGAAATTAGGTTACAGGAGAAGGGCTGCTGGTTGTGTGTCTGCATCAATCCCCTGCAACCCAGGCTCCATGGGAGTCTAACCACCATCTACCCCTAGAACGTCACAAAATACAGGCGGAAGCTGAGTGAAGACCCAGGCCTGGCCCCTGCCCCCGGCAGCCTCTCTCCACCACGCCGAGCCCCCACCCTACACCCCGACCTCACAAGGGCCCTCGGAGCCTCGCTCCTCCTCTGGCTGCCCTCTCTGGACACCAGCCCTCCACCGGCAGCCCCTCACCTGGAGGGCCCTATTCTTCCACATGGCTAACATCAGGGCAGGGGTGGCGATGTGGCCCCAGGCCCCTGCTCCAACACAGCGGCCTCCTCCCGGCTGCCAATCCCTGCCCAGCGCCTCCTCGCCACCAAGTCCTACCATCGCTCTGCACCAGTCCAACACCCAACTGCCTGGCCCTGTCCTCCCAGGTGACTACCTCCATCCAAGGGGACCTCCTGTGGACACCCGCTGGAACTGCCCCACCCACTGTCACCCCACTGTAGACCACTGTCAACTGCCCTCTGCTTATCAGGCCCTTACGCCCACCACACTGTGCCTGGGTCACAAGGCTCCAGACCCAAACACCCACCAGCTCCCCCTTCAGCTCCCCCTGCCCTCACTTCTTTCCCACCGGCTTAGCCTAACCACGCTTTACCAAGTGCCCTTAACTCTCCTGCCCTACGATCGCTCCAGCACACGGGCCCCATGTGCACACACACACACACACGCACACCCTCTCCCTTGCTTCAGGACAACACACAAGGTCAGGAGGAAAACTGTGCACTTGGGTATGAGCTCTCAAAACAGTGCACATTTCTCCCAAACACCCCCAGCTCCTCTGCCGGGCCCTTCAACCCTCACGAGCAACGTCCTGCCTCCACCAGGCCAGCCTCGCCGCACCCCATCTCTCTCCCAAGCTCTGCACCCCTCGAGCCCCTCCCACCACCACCCTCATCAGCAAACCCTCTCCATTCTCCCCTGCCTCAAGCAGCCACCCTCCCGTGGCCAGGCCCAGAGGGAGGGCCAGCGTTCTCCTTGTGCTTACTGTGTCTCCCAGATTATTCTAACGTCTGCCAACTCTGAAGCCACACCACCAGCCTCTCTGGCCCTCAACCCCATTGTTACTGCCACCCCCTGCCAGCCACCAGGCATCCCCCTGCACTCCTGGCTGCCAACACTGCCCCTGTCCTAACTGAGAAGTGGTCCTTCCCAAAGCCCGGCTCTAGGATCCCCAAGCCCTCCTGCCGCCATCCTACTTCCTTCAGAGCCACACACCCAGGGTCACCCTTGGACACTGCCACTGGCAGCAAGCCCCAATCTCAAATCCGAGCACCTCACTCTTGGACCACCACCGCCCGCATTTCCATCTCTGTGCCCGCCCAGTGCCTGCACCCAGCAGCTGCCCACAGCTGGAGAACAAAGTCCACAGCAACACTGACTCCCGTCACTTCACACCACGTGCACCCGGAGGCGGCCCAGCATCCTGCTTCCGCACGCCGCACCACAGACCTCTGGGCCTGCGGTCCTCTCGGTGGGGCTGCCTGTCCACTGGGGATGTCTGGCAGCATCCCTGCCCCACTCCCCACAGCTAGATGCCAAGAAACTTCCCTCTAGGCCCTCCCGGTCCTGATGCTCTAAGGGGTCTCCAGACACGGCCCCACAGGAGGCTGGGGGCGGGGTGGACACGGACCCAGAAGAGGACCCTCTGCTCCAGCCCAGGCAGACGCCCGCTCTCTGGGAGCACAGCTCCGGGCCTCCCCGGCCACACTCGCTCTGGGCTCACGAGGGGGGCACCAGAGGGCACTCAGCTTCCAGAACTCACCCACACGCCCAGTCTCCACCATCTTCTCCAAAATCAGTCCCTCTGCGTCCCCTCGCCACTCGGGGACACTGTTCCAACGACCCTCCCACCCTACAGCAGCCGCCACAGCACCAATCCCCCGTCTCCACTGGCTCGGTCCCGTCACCAGAGACATGCACCAGTCTTCTCATCTCAAAAACAGGCACGAGTCACGTTCCCGACACCACCCCTCCCGCCACCGACCGTGTCATTCCTTCACGTCCCTGGCAATGCCGCCACAGCTGTCTCCAACGCCTGCCTCTGCTCTATCGCCAACCACTCTGGTCCAGCCCGCTTCATGTTCCTATTTTTTGGTTTTGATTTTCTGTACTTTCCTCTAAAGATCATGCTATATCCACGGGGATATCTGTAACACTTAGGAGAACCCTGTCTGTGGCTTGCTTTTATATTGTTTACGACTTTCTGACCTTTTGTTTTACATTTTTGTACAGTTAAACCTTGAAATCCTTTTTTCCTAATTTTCCTTCGTTGCTCTTATGCTCAGAAAATCCTCCCCCACCTTCTCTCCAAGAATAATCTCCCCATGGGCTGTAAAGCCCGTCTTCTCTTCAGCTACCTGAAGTGTGCAGTCGGCGTGGGGCCTGAGGTCAGGGCCCGTCCCGGCTTTCCTCCCCTTCTCCACTGGCGGCAGCCCCGCCCCTGCACCCCCCCACCCCCCCAGCACAGCCCCCAGAGCAGGCCTCACCCCCCCACACCCCC